CAGAATTATACTTCTGCAAATTAATGCTACATCAATCAATCTTAACTTCATTGATAGACCAGATGCGGACTTTGAAAAAATCCATGAAGTAAGTGCTGAGCTCGGTGAAGTGTGATTAAATTGCCATTCTTATGGGAGACAATGCAATTGCAATGCAAAAATGGGAAAAAGAAATGTGGCTGATGTCGTGGGTGCACTGGGTGAGAAAAACGATCGGGACGAAATGCTAATCTAGTTTTGTAAACAAGAAAATTTGTTAATTAAAAACGCTTATTACAAATTACCTCCTAGATGTCTATATACATGGCGCTCCCCGCAGGATAATGCTTATCATATGGCGAGAACCAGATTGATTTCTGCCTAATTAAACACAGATAACAGGAGAACGTAACACTGGTGGCCACTTATCCGTAGATTGGCACTGATCATATAATAGCCAACTTCAAAAATCAACCTTAAACTTATAACACAAAGAAGAACCCTAAAAAAAATGACATCCAGAGGTTAAACTAACTATTTAACCATGAAAAGATGAGATTGGAACTTGAAAGACTCTGAAGTGAAGAAGACCATAGAAACAACGACGAACCAGAGGATATATCGATGACATCAAAGGAAATATACGGAATGCCTCTGAGATTATATTAGGACAACAAAAGCGAGCCAACGTCAGGCCCTGGATGACGGATGAAATTCTGGATTTAATGCAAGATGCGACGAAGGGCAAAAATCCAACAACAATCAGATACATACACTATACTTGACCGAAAGATGAAACAAAAATGCAGAAAGCCTCGAGAGCCGCGGGTGATCTCGGAGTGGGAGGGGGCTGAGAGATTGCGCGAATTGCACGACTCATAAAACTTCCATAAAGAAGTAAAGCAAATCATTGGCGCCCTTAGCAGATTTCCAATTCCGTCCCTAAGAAAACAAAATGGGGGACTTGTCTTGGATCCAGCGGAACTCTGTGATGAGTGGAAAGAGTACGGGGAGATAATATATGAAGATCAGCGTAGTTTGAGAAACATGAACACATCAGGATTATTAACAGGACCTACAATCCTACAAACCGAAGTACAACGAGCTATTAAGAACGTGAAAATAAAAAACCCACAGTCATGGTAATATGCATACTAAAATATTAAAAGACTTATAAGCCTTATGAGCCTTGCTCCTAAAGTCGTTCTGCGAGTTATCTAAACCCGAGTCTATACCAAATGTGAAGCACTGAGCGGAGAAAAAGGCTACATGAGGTTGGTATAGACTATGAAGACATCAGAATAATCCAGCAGCTATATTGGCAACAGATCGCAGAGGTGAAAGTTTATAATGAATTAACTACAGAGACATTCAATATATCCATTGTCCATATATAGAAAATA